CTATCACCAGCTTCTTCCTGATCGCTGCCATCTACATGGGGGGGGGATTTCAACATATTATTACCACTGCATGATCTATCTGCTTCAGTTTAGTTTGCATGGGGGCAACCTAACTGTCAGGCTGGTAGGTTGCTACGGAGACCAGGTACCAGGTTTTCTTAGCACTGGGCCTGAGGTAATTGTTTTCTTTCTAGCCCTGCACTATCACACGTGATTCACCTGATCAATTAGCCCTTAATGGTATGGCGCCCATGCGCAGAGTCCTTTGTAGGGCTACAGATCAACATGTCTTCATATTGAGCAGAGAGTTTTGTTCATATATGAATCAAATACACTGTTCTCTTTAATATGACCAGGGAAGTAGGGAGCTCAAAGGTTCAAGCTGCTGCAGTCACTTTGGAAGCTCTAGTCTTGTTAACTAACTCATTTTTTAAAACTCTCTCCATGCTTAAAGTAGTGAGAAATATATGTAATTGTTGTAAAAATGAGCTTGTGCTTAATTTACTATCATGATCCTAAATCGAAATATTGAATTAGTTTGACATAAATTATTTTATATTACGCTAATTTCACTATCACAGATAATTTTGAATTTATTTATTTAACCTTTATTTAACCAGGTAAGACCAATTTGGGTTAAAAACCTCTTTTGCGAGGGCGACTTGGATGTTGCTACATTACAGACTAACGTTTTCACCAGACAAGGATTACAGGAAATACACAACCTTTTTACCTCAGATTGGTTATGCTAGTATTAAACTTTATAGTCATCACGATCTTGCAAAATCAATTGCTTAAAATAGATCAATATCTTTGGTTTAGTAGCGGTCTTTCGTCATATGCGCCAGTCCGTTCAGACCACTGTGTTGGGAAGCACTTTACAGTAAACTTGTATTCGGTGCATGTGACTAATACACATTTATTTTTGTTGAAATAATTTGGGCGCTCGTCCCATATACATCTCTGGCCTCACATGAATTGTTGGATTTGCGGGTTGAGACATCATTCAAATGAAAGCCAACCCCTGTCGCTATTTAGAAACCGTCCCGATGAATAGGTGGTGATTCGTTAAAAATATCCAGTCAAAACTGTCGTTTCCTTTTCTGTATTGGCCATCTACCGAAATCATTAAATTGATAATATACGTTGATGAATGGCTACGACAGGTTGTCATCTATCGACAGATACTCTGTATGTAGTATAGCCAAGGTCATAGCGGTTTGTCTGTTAGAAGATAAACGGTGCATGTCGCCGAGGGTTATTGTCCCAGTTCCATTCATTTCAACACAATATCGATGCGAGTGTTTCATTTGCGCACGCTTTTGATTACAGCGGAACAAGCTAATCAATTCCAGTCTTGACTGACCACTTGGTAAATATTAGCACATGTGCAGTTTATAAAAAGGTATAATTTAGCAAAATAAAAGTAATCTGAACACAAGTGTGACACGTGTGCATGGAGTAATTTATATATTGGTCTTCAAAATATCACGACATTTCAGAATATTGATTCTGAATTTGGACACTCGGCCATAAATCAAAAAGCCATGACAACTGGAAGCAGCAATAGTATCATTTTCAATGTATGTTTTTGTAATATACAGTGCCTTCGGAAAGTATTCAGACCCCTTGACTTTTTCCACATTTTGTTATGTTACAGCCTTATTCTAAAATTGATTAAATCAATAAAAATCCTCATCAATCTACACACAATACCCCATAATGACAAAGCGAAAACAGGTTTTTATACATTTTTGCAAATGTATTCAATATAAAAAACTGAAATACCTTATTTACATAAGTATTCAGACCCTTTGCTATGAGACTCGAAATCGAGTTGAGGTGCATCCTGTTTCCATTGATCATCCTTGAGATGTTTCTACAACTTGATTGGAGTCCACCTGTGGTAAATTTAATTGATTGGACATGATTTGGAAAGGCACACACCTGTCTATATAAGTTCCCACAGTTGACAGTGCATGTCAGAGCAAAAGCCAAGCCATGAGGTCGAAGGAATTGTCCGTAGAGCTCCGAGACAGGATTGTGTCGAGGCACAGATCTGGGGAAGGGTACCAAAAAATGTCTGCAGCATTGAAGGTCCCCAAGAACACAGTGGCCTCAATCATTCCTAAATGGAAGAAGTTTGGAACCACCAAGACTCTTCCTAGAGTTGGCCGCCCGGCCAAACTGAGCAATCGGGGGAGAAGGGCCTTGGTCAGGGAGGTGACCAAGAACCTGATGGTCACTCTGACAGAGCTCTAGAGTTCCTCTGTGGAGATGGGAGAACCTTCCAGAAGGACAACCATCTCTGCAGCACTCCACCAATCAGGCCTTTATGGTAGAGTGGCCAGATGGAAGCCACTCATCAGTAAAAGGTACATGACAGCCCGCTTGGAGTTTGCCAAAAGGCACCTGAAGACTCAGACCATGAGAAACAAGATTCTTTGGTCTGATGAAACCAAAATTGAAATCTTTGACCTGAATGCCAAGCGTCACGTCTGAAGGACACCTGGCACCATCCCTACGGTGAAGCATGGTGGTGGTGGCAGCAGGCAGGGACTGGGAGACAGGATCGAGGGAAAGATGAATGGCGCAAAGTACAGAGAGATCCTTGATGAAAATCTGCTGCAGAGCGCTCAGGACCTCAGACTGTTGCGAAGGTTCACCTTCCAACAGGACAACAACCGTAAGCACACAGCCAAGACAACCCAGGAGTGGCTTCGGGACAAGTCTCTGAATGTCCTTGAGTGGCCCAGCCAGAGCCCGGACTTGAACCCGATCGAACATCTCTGGAGAGACCTGAAAATAGCTGTCCAGCGACGCTCCCCATCCAACCTGACAGAGCTTGAGAGGATCTGCAGAGAAGAATGGGAGAAACTCTCCAAATACAGGTGTGCCAAGCTTGTAGCGTCATACCCAAGAAGACTCGAGGCTGTAATCGCTGCCAAAGGTGCTTCAACAAAGTACTGAGTAAAGGGTTTGAATACTTATGTAAATTTCAGTTTTGTATTTTTAATAAATTATTAAGCATTTTTAAACCTGTTTTTGCTTTGTCATTATGGGGTATTGTGTGTAAATTGATGAGGGAAAAAAACAATTTAATCAATTTTAGAATAAGGCTGTAACGTAACAAAATGTGGAAAAAGTCAAGAAGTCCGAATACTTTCCGAATGCACTGTAAACAGTACTTAAAGTATAATCCTGTTGAAAAATAATGGTATCAGGTAAAAACTACTGAATGAGCCCAAAAACGTGCTATGATTTAGATATGAGTGAAATCGTTAAAATGTTTGTCCTGCAGCTATCAGGATAAATGTTTTAGCTACTGTAGTTTGCTAGCTAAGATTGGCCAGCTAATGTTATTAGCTGACATTAGCTAGCTAGCTAATTAGCTAGTGGGGTAAAGAGACAGCGAATACGAAGTGGCTAGCTCATTTACTATGACTGTCGTAGATTCAGAGAGTTGTCAAGATTTTCGGTTCGTAAATCCGAGGAGTTGATCCGACCTCCGGCAAGTCAAGCTAACCGGCTAACGTTGGCTAGCTTGCTAGCTACTTCCCAGACACATAATGAGAGAACAACCTCACTCTGACCATTTTACTCGCCCTAGCAGAGCTGGTTAGGCTGTTTTCATGTTATCAAGAGCTTTGGTGTCTGTAACTGTGCTGCTGGCAACAATTTAATGACGCTTTTTTTTTTGCCGACGTTTACCGACACCGGTCATATTCAACGGGTGTTGAGCGTTCATAAATTCCTCAGTTATTCTGCTCTCTGGCACACTCAAGACGAGAGTGCTCTGAAATCGGAGTAGATGGACAGAGTGAATTTACGAACGCACAGTTATCAATGTACTGTTACCTTACTGCTATTTGATAAAGCCAGTTAAAAAGGGAATAGATGTAAAGTTATGCTACCGTTTGTTAGCCGTTTCTGTGTTCGCCTCTTCTCTTCCGGTCCAAGCTGAAGTCCCCGCCCACTTCGGCCTGCCACGCCCCGGCAGCATAGAACTGAGAACTAGAACGGACTAGGCCTACAGATCTATCTTAGACGTGCCTACAGATCTATCTTAGACGTGTCTACAGATCTATCTTAGACGTGTCTACAGATCTATCTAGACGTGCCTACAGATCTATCTTAGACGTGCCTACAGATCTATCTTAGACGTGCCTACAGATCTATCTTAGACGTGCCTACAGATCTATCTTAGACGTGCCTACAGATCTATCTTAGACGTGCCTACAGATCTATCTTAGACGTGCCTACAGATCTATCTTAGACGTGCCTACAGATCTATCTTAGACGTGCCTACAGATCTATCTTAGACGTGTCTACAGATCTATCTTAGACGTGCCTACAGATCTATCTTAGACGTGCCTACATATCTATCTTAGACGTGTCTGCAAATCTATCTTAGACGTGCCTACAGATCTATCTTAGACGTGCCTACATATCTATCTTAGACGTGTCTGCAAATCTATCTTAGACGTGCCTACAGATCTATCTTAGACGTGCCTACAGATCTATATTAGACGTGTCTGCAAATCTCTTCAATTCACTTGGAAAGAAATACTTAGTGAACAAAATGTCATACCAACCCACCAGTTTTATTTAGGTTTGCACTTGACAATAAATATCAAAACAAAACTCCACATTAATCAAATGAATTCAGTTAAAACAACAAGTGATTAAATAAAATATAATTTAAATATAATTGTTAATTTAGAAAAATATGACTAATTTCATAAGTTGCTCAAACACCCCTTCACTCATCTCCTCCCCCTTTTGATGCACAGTCCAAGTTTTGTGTTTTATAAAAATGTATCACTTTATAACAGCATAAAATGAAAAAGCTACTTTCTACATACCAGTACATATGTAGTCTAGACCATTTTTAACACAGTATATTCTGCAGGCTTTTCTTTAAAGCGTTCTGTCTTATTTTTGGTTATTATCAAGCTAGTGTATAGCACAAGTTAACATTGGCTGATAACATGTTGTTATGTTTTCGTCGTGGTTGTGTGTGTCCAGTGATAACAGCATCTCTGTCTGTCTGAACTGAAGTCTACACACGTGTTCCTGGCTGAGCTAGCTAGCAGCACTCCCACACTGGTCATCCCCTCCCTGCTCTCACCCATTCCATTGCCCTCTATTCTATCCTTCTGTCTTTCAATCCCTCCCTCCTCTCTCAGTCCCAGACTCATACCTCAAGTAGTCTAACACCAGTTGGTTGAGATGCTGGTTGCTTGGTTACAATACCGCTACATCACAGCTGTTTGTAATATTCCATTTGTAGTAACAGCTGTAGTGACTGGCTGCTGAAAGCTCTTCTTGTAGTAACAGTTTTTCCTGATTGGCTGCTGAAGGCTCTTGTTTTTGCAGTTACAGCTGTAGCGATTGGCTGTCCGGGGGGGTTCACTTCCTGCGTCGGTAGAAGAGGACGTAGGCCTGAGCAGACTGCAGTTGGTTCTCTGATATAGGAGTCACACTGGATGAACGAACGAGAGAGAGAGAGATTAACAATAATAATTAATAATAATTGGTCATTTAGCAGACGCTCTTATCCAGAGCGACTTACAGGAGCAATTAGGGTTAAGTGCCTTGCTCAAGGGCACATCAACAGATTTTTCACCTAGTCGGCTCTGGGATTAGAACCAGCGACCTTTCGGTTACTGGCACAACGCTCTTACCCACTAGGCTACCTGCCGCCCATTAACCAGCAAGAAACCAGCAATGTATTGGGTATGCATTCTAAGCCATTTGCTACAATGTGTATAAATGGGTGTGTGTGTATAAATGGGCGTGTGCGAGTATAAATGGGTGTGTATAAATGGGTGTGTATAAATGGGTGTGTATAAATGGGTGTGTGTGTGTATGAATGTGTGTGTGTGTGTGTGTGTGTATAAATGGGTGTGTGTGTGCGTCTGTGTGTCACTGACCAGGAGTCGTTGTAGCAACACCATCCCAATCCGTCATTCTCCAGGCAACAGGCTGTGTAGTGGCCCATGTTGACTGTCCCACTGTGGTTACACACTGCATACAGGTCATACAGCACCGGACCTGGAGTCAGGGACGGAAAGATGGGAGGGGAGTCTTGCTTATGGATACATGAATGCACACAAATACAAGGAGAAGGCTAAGGAGAGAATGCTAGTGATCTAAGAAAAGGGAGAAAGACAGAGGTTATGGGTAATATAAAGATGGAGAGAGAGAGAAGGGGAGGAGGCGTGATAGAAAGATGGAGATGCAGTGTAAAGGGAAAGATGCAGTGTAAAGGGAAAGATGCTGTGTAAAGGGAAAGATGGAGTGTAAAGGGAAAGATGCTGTGTAAAGGGCCTCCTGTGGCTCAGTTGGTAGAGCATGGCGCTTGTAATGCCAGGGTTTTGGGCCAGTATGAAAAATGTATGCACTCACTAAAACTGTAAGTCGCTCTGGATAAGAGCGTCTGCTAAATGACTAAAATGTAAATGGAAAGATGGAGATGCAGTGTAAAGGGAAAGATGGAGATGCAGTGTAAAGGGAAAGATGGAGTGTAAAGGGAAATATGCAGTGTAAAGGGAAAGATGGAGATGCAGTGTAAAGGGAAAGATGGAGTGTAAAGGGAAATATGCAGTGTAAAGGGAAAGATGGAGATGCAGTGTAAAGGGAAAGATGGAGATGCAGTGTAAAGGGAAAGATGGAGATGCAGTGTAAAGGGAAAGATGGAGATGCAGTGTAAAGGGAAAGATGGAGATGCAGTGTAAAGGGAAAGATGGAGATGCAGTGTAAAGGGAAAGATGGAGTGTAAAGGGAAAGATGGAGATGCAGTGTAAAGGGAAAGATGGAGATGCAGTGTAAAGGGAAAGATGGAGATGCAGTGTAAAGGGAAAGATGGAGATGCAGTGTAAAGGGAAAGATGGAGATGCAGTGTAAAGGGAAAGATGGAGATGCAGTGTAAAGGGAAAGATGGAGATGCAGTGTAAAGGGAAAGATGGAGATGCAGTGTAAAGGGAAAGATGGACCGAGTGTGTTCTTTCCATGACAGTGACCAGGTGAATATTGATGTCACTTGTTAAAACCACTTCAATCAGTGTAGATGAAGGGGAGGAGACAGGTTAAAGAAGGATTTTTAAGCCTTGAGACAATTGAGACATGGATTGTGTATGTGTGCCATTCAGAGGGTGAATGAGCAAGACAAAATATTTAAGTGCCTTTGAACGGGGTATGGTAGTAGGTGCCAGGCGCATCGGTTTGTGTGTGTCAAGAACTGCAACGCTGCTGGGTTTTTCACGCTCAGTTCCCCGTGTGTATCAAGAAGGGTCCGTCACCCAAAGGACATCTAGCCAACTTTGTACAACTGTGTGAAGCATTGGAGTCAACATGGGCCAGCATCCCTGTGGAACGCTTTCGACACCTTGTAGAGTCCATGGCCCGACGAATTGATGCTTTTTCTGAGGGCAAAAGGTGTGCAACAGAATATTAGGAAGGTGTTCCTAATGTTTTGTGAGAGAGAGAGAGAGAGAGAGAGAGAGAGAGAGAGAGAGAGAGAGAGAGAGAGAGAGACAGAGAGACAGACAGACAGACAGACAGACAGACAGACAGACAGACAGACAGACAGAGAGGAGAGAGAGAGAGAGAGAGAGAGAGAGACAGAGAGAGAGAGAGAGAGAGATATATATATATTACCACAGCCGACCGGTCCGTAGGGCCCCATATCCAGGTTGGTCAGAGGGAAGGAAACACACACTGTACTCTTACACACCATGTACCGCGACATGGCAAACCGATTCAGATCTAATACACTGTTGTTAAGGTCTTTCACATCACCATCACCATAACTGCAGGTCAGGTAGATAAGTTAGTGTTACTAAGGATACGCATGACGATGACCTGTGGGAATCTCTGGATGGTCAGTCTCTTGGTGCTCTCTGTCCGTCTGTTGCACCGCTCACACATCTGGAACACACGTTTTAAATACACACTGAATGGAAGAGAAAATGTCACAGGCTTTTTGTGTTTCAATCTCCATCCATGCATACAGTCTTCACTTTCTCAGTGGTTTTACTCTCAGAGAAAAAGGATCAGACCTCGGGTTCAAATACTTGTGAAATAATTTCTAATATTTTTCAGCGTTTGAGTCTGCCTGGAGTGCCAATGGGCCCTAACCCAATGGGTGGGGTTTGACGTTTTGGGACCTTTCTATTGGTTTATTAAGCCTGGCATGGCTCTAACAGGCATAAAGATTATTTGAAATGAACTTTCAAGGTTTGAACAGTGTTTTCCGTAAGGAGCCAAATAGAAAATGTAGCCAGCCAGGGGTGGTCCGGGTGTGCATGCCCTCTGGGATTTTTTTGTTTTGTTGCAGAAGCAGCTCGAGTTTGGTGCCCTCTGGTACATCCTAATGCCTTGATTCCATCTGAAATACACAGCGAAAATATTGAATACTTTAACGACTTTAACTCCCAGATTGGTCAAATAAGTTGACGTATTCAGTAGAAAGACATGACTTTGCAATTAAAATGACTGAAAATGTCTGAAGTTGTTGGTTGTTTTGGATATCGTCTAGGACTGTATGATCAAGTCTGTTATCAATGTAAGAAAACCTTTTTTTAACATTAAACCTGTCTTCTCTTGAGATTCAAGTCATTAACAGTTTTACTGCAAGATATGAATTGCCACAATGTTTGTTTGTCAAATCATGTATTATATTATATATATGTGGTCCTCTGTAGCTCAGCTGGTAGAGCACGGCGCTTGTAACGCCAAGGTAGTGGGTTCAATCCCCGGGACCACCCATACACAAAAATGTATGCACGCATGACTGTAAGTCGCTTTGGATAAAAGCGTCTGCTAAATGGCATATTATTATTATTATTATTATTATTATTATTATTATATTGGCTCTGCTGCTGTGGCCACTCAGGGTAAGGAAACCAATGTTTCATTTTGTAATTTGGATGAACTATCCCTTTAACAGTTAGGCCTGTCAAAGGATCAGGAGAGGGGGGGCAGGATGTTTGGGAGTCACAGAGTTGGGAGGGTTGCAGACCTGTCAATCAATCACTGTGGGTGGGATTGTCAGGAGAGGGGGCAGGATGTTTGTGAGTCACAGAGTTGGTAGGGTTGCAGACCTGTCAATCAATCACTGTGGGTGTGACATTGAGGGAAGGCAGTAGATTAGTAATTTAGTCAGAAAAGCTAGTCTAGTCTGCCCTTTCAATTTAATCTGTGGCAAAAACAAAATCTAGTCTACTCTTTAAATTTAGCTTATTGTGGTGAAAACTAAAGAAAGGAGGTTGTGTTCTGTGATATTTACATGGACAATATAGAATTGCAGGAAAATGGTTTAAAAAATGCAACAATTTTGTGCACCCCCTTTTATACAAAGTCAGACGCCCAGGAATAGATGTACAGGTATGATATGGCCTCTGTTACACAGGAAGCAGCAGTTGACTACTCCATGGTGGACCCTTTAATCAAATCAGTAGGCCTATATCAATATCTTTAATACTACCGTAGAAGTATCATGACATTAGCATTTATAACCTTGAATCTGTTTTCTTTTATCATATTTTGGACCAGAATGATGCTTTCTCTCCAATACCTATTGTTCCTGCAGTGACGATTCAACATCTTCAAATGTTTTCATAATTTATCTGTCAAAAAGTCATAGCCTACCAGTATGCAAATTAGGGAGCCAATTGAACGGCTCTCTCACCGATGTGATTCGGTTCCGTTTACCTAAAATATCAGTTCAAAAAGAGCCTTTGTTCGAGAGGGGTCCAGCTGGATGTCATCTCTCAGAGCAGTCACCCCTCAGGGTCTCAATGCTGCTGATAGGTCATCTCTCAGACCAATCATCTCTCAGGGTCTCAATGCTGCTGATAGGTCATCTCTCAGACCAATCATCTCTCAGGGTCTCAATGCTGCTGATAGGTCATCTCTCAGTGCATCTCTCAGGAAAAGTGGGGGAGTCAAAAGGAGTGGACGTTTAGAAAGGAACCTTATAAGGAGAAGTGGGTGTTTCGAAAGGTGCCACTCAAGACGTCGTTTAGGTTATTGGATGTTAGTCATGGTCTGCAGAGATGCCATGTCTGTAACATTCCCTACCGGTATCCATGTACGTAACGTTCCCTACCGGTATCCATGTCTGTAACGTTCCCTACCGGTAGCCATGTCTGTAACGTTCCCTACCGGTAGCCATGTCTGTAACGTTCCCTATCGGTAGCCATGAATGTAACGTTCCCTACCGGTAGCCATGAATGTAACGTTCCCTACCGGTAGCCATGTCTGTAACGTTCCCTACCAGTAACCATGACTGTAACGTTCCCTATCAGTATCCATGTCTGTAACGTTCCCTACCGGTATCCATGTCTGTAACGTTCCCTACCGGTATCCATGTCTGTAACGTTCCCTACCGGTATCCATGTCTGTAACGTTCCCTACCGGTAGCCATGTCTGTAACGTTCCCTACCGGTATCCATGTCTGTAACGTTCCCTACCGGTAGCCATGTCTGTAACGTTCCCTACCGGTATCCATGTCTGTAACGTTCCCTACCGGTATCCCATGTCTGTAAACGTTCCCTAACCGGTATCCATGACTGTAACGTTCCCTACCGGTAGCCATGTCTGTAACGTTCCCTACCGGTATCCATGTCTGTAACGTTCCCTACCGGTATCCATGTCTGTAACGTTCCCTATCGGTATCCATGTCTGTAACGTTCCCTACCGGTATCCATGTCTGTAACGTTCCCTACCGGTAGCCATGTCTGTAACGTTCCCTACCGGTATCCATGTCTGTAACATTCCCTACCGGTAGCCATGTACGTAACATTACATTTTTAGTAAATGCTAGCTAACATTAGCTACCTTAACTTATATAAAATCCATACATTTTAGAATGTATTATTTATTATTGAAATAGTTGAAATAGTCATGGCGGTTCTAGTAGTAATGGAATTCCATCGCTTCTAGCGTTGACTCCTTTTGAAATCCCCACTTCTCCTAATATGGTTCTTTCGAAACGCCCACCTCTCCTTATATGGTTCCTTTCGAAACGCCCACTTCTCCTTATAAGGTTCCTTTCCAAAAGTCCACTCCTTTCGACACCCCCACTTTTCCTGAGATGCACTGAGAGATGATTGGTCTGAGAGATGACCTATCAGCAGGTGGCAGCATAGAGAACCTGAGAGATGATTGGTCTGAGAGATGACGTCAACAGCTAAACCCTATTGCTTTGTTCCCAAACAACCCAAGCCATCACTAGGCTACACTGACAAGTCACTTTAGCGGTCGCTGGCAAGTCTCGACATGGCCTTCGAATACTAGGAAAATACAAACAAGATATTTGGTTTACTGTCCCGATGAGATACCGCGGCCATATAACTGTGTTGGTTTATGAATAGTAAAGGAATTTAGGAGATTTACTTCATTCAGTCAGTTCCACAGCTTTTTAATAAAAGACAAGCTGTTCGGTCGTCAAGAACAGTAAATAGCCAAATCCGTGGTTGACTAAAGGCCTATAAAAACACGAAAGAAAATAAATGAATGTGCCACAAAACAAGAATGAAGTGGATTTCAACTTATCGTTACCACTTACAGTACGTTACATTACGTTACGTTACGTTACATTACAGTACGCTACGTTACATTACATGGACATGGAAATTCACTCACAGGAGACGATGAAGAAGCATCATTCTCTCCCTCCTCCATGCAAATACATTTGAGTGGAGCCAACCACAGCGCACAAAAATAACACAGGTACCGAGAGGCGGGACAGACAGCAGACTGACAAACCAGCAGTTTCCCCTGTCATCGCTGGCTTTGTGACTGACAGGCACCTGTCCTATCAATAGATCGCTAGAAGATGCATAACGTTCTGACTAGCGAATTTGAACTTTTAAATGAAAAGAAGCCTAGTTGATGAAGTGGAAAAAGGAGGTGGCGGTTAGCGGCTGTTTAGTACTTATGGAAAACACTGAACGGTATAGTGTTGTCTTACGGGTGCGTTATCTTCATCCAGCTTCTCTTCCTGTGTGAACAGATCCAGACACTCCCTCAGAGACCCGCCCCCTGCTGCACTCCTCTTAGGGATGGGCAGAGACAGGTCACAGAAGACGTCGAAGCAGGTGGAGTAGTGAGAACACACAGAGCAGTGGAGAGAACTACGCAGCTGACCTGTGAACAGATCTGAGTAGAGCGAGAGAGAGAGAGAGAGAGAGATAGAGAGAGACAACAAGAGAGAGAAGAGAGATAGAGAGAGAGAGAGAGATAGAGAGAGGGAGAATCAGAGAGACCAAAGAGAGAGCTATCTCCTATCTCGCTACTCTCTCTCCTCTCTCTCGTCTCTCTCTCTCTCTCTCTCTCTCTCTTCTCTCTACTCTCTCTCTCTCTCTCTCTCTCTCTCTCTCTCTCCTCTCTCTCTCTTCTCTCTCTCTCTCTCTCTCCTCTCTCTCTCTCTCTCCTCTCTCTCTCTCCTTCTCTGCTCTCTCTCTCTCTCTCTCTCTCTCTCTCCTCTCTCGCTCTCTCTCTCTCTCTCTCTCTCTTCTCCCTCTCTCCCGGAATAGTGACCATACTGTTATAGCCCCAAACCAAATCTTCGCTAAATACTTACTGTGTCCCAACACCAAATGTCTTCACGCTCACCTACGATCTTACTGTTGTCCCTCTCCAGGTGTCTCTTCCACATTGCAGACGCCTGCTCGTCAATCCTGAGAGAGAGAGGTAGGGAAAGAAAAATGGAGGGAGACAGAAAAAGAGAGAGTTAGAAAGAGGGTTGGAAATTTTACATGTAGGACTAGAGGTTGAATCTGGCCTCAATAGGTCATTATGTGGTCTTTGGTGCATTTTGACCCTTGACATGTCTCCGTACCTGACTTTGGTGAATTTGGGTTCAGGCTCCAGGCTGGTGGGCCGGATGTACGGCCGGCGGTTGACCTCACAGTGAAGCCTGTCCAATAAGAACCTCAGAAACTCTTGAGCATCCTGTTGACTGGAAGGAAGTATAGATGTTTTCACTGCTTACAATACTTTCGCACATGCACACACACGGCCGGCCCTATTCTTTTGGGGGCCCTAGACGAGATTTGGTCTTAAAAGAGATTTTGGTTTTTGAGATAATGTCCTACAGTTTTACATATTTTGCCATGGTGTGGAGAATTGGTTTTTAATTCTACAAATGTTTCCATGACTTAAGCCATGTCAATATGATGTCTGAGTGAGAGTGACCAACAAAATCAATGGGGGCCCCCTGACGGTCAGGCCCCCTGAAGGTCAGGCCCCCTGAAGGTCAGGCCCCCTGACGGTCAGGCCCCCTGAAGGTCAGGCCCCCTGAAGGTCAGGCCCCCTGAAGGTCAGGCCCCCTGAAGGTCAGAGGTCAGGCCCCTTGAAGGTCAGGCCCCCTGGGCACGTGCCCTTCATGCACAGTCAGAAATTCGGCCATGATTACTACAAGTGTAGATAGCTGGCTAGAGTAATTTACCAATCTATAAAATTTTAGCTGATATGGGCTAATTGAGTGACTGTCAGTGACTGATATAAGAGGAAAGCTGCTGATGCACAACCACATTTAGAAATGTCACCTTGTATATTCTACTATTCTAATGCTCAACAGTAAGTTGTGACCAGACTGAATCATTTATGCCCAGGGCCGGCCCTGCACACACCTACCTGTATCCGCTAAAGTAAGGCACGGCGTCTTTGAAGATGCTGTAGAACTTCCCAGGATTCACTTCTGTGTTATGGTTTTCTTTGTTCACATCCCAGAGACCCAATAGCACCTGGGAGAACGCTGGGTGGGAGAGTTCAGAGGTCAGAGAGCGCTGGGTGGGAGAGGTCAGAGGTCAGAGAGCGCTGGGTGGGAGAGGTTAGAGAGTGCTGGGTGGGAGAGGTCAGAGGTCAGAGAGCGCTGGGTGGGAGAGGTCAGAGGTCAGAGAACGCTGGGTGGGAGAGGTCAGAGAGTGCTGGGTGGGAGAGGTCAGAGGTCAGAGAGCACTGGGTGGGAGAGGTCAGAGAGCGCTGGGTGGGAGAGGTTAGAGGTCAGAGAGCGCTGGGTGGGAGAGATCAGAGGTCAGAGAGCGCTGGGTGGGAGAGGTCAGAGGTCAGAGAGCGCTGGGTGGGAGAGGTCAGAGGTCAGAGAGCGCTGGGTGGGAGAGGTCAGAGAGCGCTGGGTGGGAGAGGTCAGAGAGCGTTGGGTGGGAGAGGTCAGAGAGCGCTGGGTGGGAGAGGTCAGAGAACGCTGGTTGGGAGAGTTCAGAGAGCGCTGGTTGGGAGAGGTCAGAGAGCGCTGGGTGGGAGAGGTTAGAGGTCAGAGAGCGCTGGGTGGGAGAGTTCAGAGAGCGTTGGGTGGGAGAGGTCAGAGAGCGCTGGGTGGGAGAGGCCAGAGAGCGCTGGGTGGGAGAGGTCAGAGGTCAGAGAGCGCTGGGTGGGAGAGGTCAGAGGACAGAGAACGCTGGGTGGGAGAGGTTAGAGTTCAGAGAGCGCTGGGTGGGAGAGGTCAGAGAGCGCTGGTTGGGAGAGGCCAGAGAGCGCTGGGTGGGAGAGGTCAGAGGTTAGAGGTCAGAGAGCGCTGGGTGGGAGAGGTCAGAGGACAGAGAACGCTGGGTGGGAGAGGTTAGAGTTCAGAGAGCGCTGGGTGGGAGAGGTTAGAGAACGCTGGTTGGGAGAGGTCAGAGAACGCTGGTTGGGAGAGGTTAGAGTTCAGAGAGCGCTGGAAGAAAGGAATGGGAAAGACAGAAGGCAGGAAAGGAAAGATTGATAGTATCCTCCCGTTCTTACCCTCCATAAGTTGTGGTTCCTCTCTAGTGCACATCTCCTGTCTGTAGGCCTTGACCAGACAGTAGTCCCTCAGATCTCTGGTGTGAGAGAGACACTGCACCACCGCATTCAGAAAACACTGACAGAGAGAGACAGAGACAGACAGACAGACAGAGACAGAGAGAGAGAGAGACAGACATACAGACAGAGAGAGAGAGAGACAGAGAGAGACAGACAGACATACAGACAGAGAGAGAGAGAGACAGAGAGAGACAGACAGACATACAGACAGAGAGAGATGAGAGAGAGAGAGAGAGAGACAGACAGACATACAGTGTAAGAGAGGAGGGTATAGGGTAGGAAGCATTAGTTTTTACTCACCAAAGTAACACAGTGTGGTCAAAGACTTGGTAACTTAGTCGTAGTCACCATTTGGTTACCTAAACTACAAACACAGTTAAGTTTTGGGGTTATTACATACAGTATTTATTAACTTATTTCCGGATATCGTCTAAACTACCCACAATGCACGTTTTCTAAATGTCATATGGAGAATCTACTCTGTGCTACCGAGTTCGTACGCTAGCTCTGTAGCTAGCTCAAGATAGCCATGCTAGCATGTAATTACATTCCAGACCTGCAAGTGTTGGCGGTGGGGAGCTAAAAATCCACCAATCACGAGGAAGTGTGATGTAAACAATGAATAGATGGGGCATCTGCAGCTTCCTCATGCTCTTCACAGACTTTGTGGCTGTGTAATCTAGTGGGAACCCGTTAGCACGGCAGGCTCTGATGCCTTCTTGCCATGGGCTCAAAACGAAAGAGAAAATCCTACCTGCTTGCTCAAATTCAATTGTTTAGTACCTCGTCTGTTCTCTTTTTAGTTTTGTCAACTTCTTCGGCATGTTCTCTGTGAGGGAAGCTACGGGAGTTTTGTAACTTTTTGCACCTTGGCTTAGTGCTAGCACGCTAGTTGACGGACATCCTGAATCTATCTATATTATATTTCCCCGACTCTCCCTCGGTCAGGGGAAGCACCTGCCTCCCCCTCGCTTTGGTAGCAAACTCAGCCTGCACGCTTTTAAAAGGTTTACTTTGCTTTTGATCTGTGGTTACAGTATGTTTTAGTTGTGTTGTGTTAGTTGTGTTCGTGGTGGTTTGCTAGGCTGGCTAGGCTAATAGCCAGTTGGCTAAATAGCTAACATTAGCTAGCTGGCTAGCTTGCTGGCTAAAATAACTGCATATATCTAACATTATTTAATAACTGGTTAGATGCATTATGTATTTCCAAAACATTGGTTTTCTTTAATGTAGTTGTAAGCTAGGTGTTGATAGCAACTGGCTGACTCATGCAGTCAGTGCTAAAGTAACGCTAGCGAGGCTAGTAGGGCTAACGTTAGCAGGCTAGTAGGGCTAATGTTAGCAGGCTAGTAGGGCTAACGTTAGCAGGCTAGTAGGGCTAAGTTAGCAGGCTAGTAGGGCTAATGTTAGCAGGCTGTAGGGCTAACGTTAGCAGGCTAGTAGGGCTAACGTTAGCAGGCTAGTAGGGCTAACGTTAGCAGGGCTAGTAGGGCTAACGTTTAGCAGGCTAGTAGGGGCTAATGTTTAGCAGGCCTTAGTAGGGCTAACGTTAGCGGCTAGTAGGGCTAACGTTAGCAGGCTAGTAGGGCTATAATGCTAGGTAGGCTAGTAGGCTAGTAGGGCTAACGTTAGCAGGCTAGTAGGGCTAACGTTAGCAGGCTAGTAGGGCTAACGTTAGCAGGCTAGTAGGGCTAACGTTAGCAGGCTAGTAGGGCTAACGTTAGCAGGCTAGTAGGGCTAACGTTAGCAGGCTAGTTGGGCTAACGTTAGCAGGCTAGTAGGGCTAACGTTAGCAGGCTAGTAGGGCTAACGTTAGCAGGCTAGTAGGGCTAACGTTAGCAGGCTAGTAGGGCTAACGTTAGCAGGCTAGTAGGGCTAACGTTAGCAGGCTAGTTGGCTAGCAACCTTGCAACAACTAAATTAATAAAGTATTTGCTTGTAAATTGGCTGAAAATCTAATTGAAACCAGTAGTCATGAGTGCAAAGGATTGTTTAATTTGAAGCTATACATTTCTGTTAGAGTTTACATTAGGGAAAAGGCTGGCTTGCCAGGTCCTCCATATTACATCATCTGGCATTCTGATTGGATTTGATGTAATAACTTAAAAAAAAAAAAATGTGAGGTGAAACTTTGAATTGGAACTTTTGATGCGTATACTAATCCAGATCAATATGTTACATGTGGTTAAGTTTATGCTACCTACCCTTTAACCTTCTGAAAATCAATATGTTACATGTGGTTAAGTTTATGCTACCTACCCTTTAACCTTCTGATTTTCCTAAATTCTCCCACCCTGACACACACACATCACACGTCAAACATAAGGACATACCGTGTTTCCTACGTTACGAAGGCCGACTCTTCCACTCCCAACCTTGAGCTTTTCTTTCTGTGGAGGAGATTCAGATTAAGTCAGAGCTGAGGTTCAGAGGAAGGGACAGTCAGAGCTGAGATTCAGAGGAAGGGACAGTCAGAGCTGAGATTCAGAGGAAGGGACAGTCAGAGCTGAGGTTCAGAGGAAGGGACAGTCAGAGCTGAGGTTCAGAGGAAGGGACAGTCAGAGCTGAGGTTCAGAGGAAGGGACAGTCAGAGCTGAGATTCAGAGGAAGGGACAGTCAGAGCTGAGATTCAGAGGAAGGGACAGTCAGAGCTGAGATTCAGAGGAAAGGACAGCGTGTCAACAATGTCATTCAAAATACCCACAGAAGGTCAAGATCCAAAACACTAGCAAGGACAAGGTGAATCTATTACTTACTGTATGTATCATATCTGCACTACATTCCTTTTCATCTTATCAGCTCTACACTAGTCAACATGGGGTAGAGGGCGAGGGGTTGATCTGGCAAGTGGTTGTCTGTCTGGGAGTTGTTACAGGTATCAAACCCATGTGTGTCTGTGTACTGGAGTCATCTCGTTAGTCAGGATGGGTTACACCCGGCCCAGAGAGTCACCTCGTTAGTCAGGATGTGTTACACCCGGCCCAGAGTCACCTCGTTAGTCAGGATGTGTTTCACCCGGCCCAGAGTCACCTCGTTAGTCAGGATGTGTTTCACCCGGCCCAGAGTCACCTCGTTAGTCAGGATGTGTTACACCCGGCCCAGAGAGTCACCTCGTTAGTCAGGATGTGTTTCACCTGTGCTGGCCCAGAGTCACCTCGTTAGTCAGGATGTGTTACACCTGGCCCAGAGTCACCTCGTTAGTCAGGATGTGTTACACCCGGCCCAGAGTCACCTCGTTAGTCAGGATGTGTTACACCCGGCCCAGAGAGTCACCTCGTTAGTCAGGATGTGTTACACCTGGCCCAGAGTCACCTCGTTAGTCAGGATGTGTTACACCCGGCCCAGAGAGTAACCTCGTTAGTCAGAATGTGTTACACCCGGCCCAGAGAGTCACCTCGTTAGTCAGGATGTGTTTCACCTGTGCTGGCCCAGCTGGACTTTAAGAGCTGCTGGCCTAGTGCATCAGTTGGAAAGGACATGTTGGGAGAACTACACCTCACGTAAGTTGTGGTGCGAGTTCCAGCTCAACCATTTTAGTTTGAAAGAACCCTGAGTTTTGGTGTTTCCTCTGTTTCTTCTACATATTCGTTTTACTCCCTATCCTAAGTTGTGGGTTTTTATTTTAGTTTGTCTTTTCGGAGGCAAACTTAGTGGGCTTCCATGGTGGGTGTGTTTTAGAACCCCTTAACTAGTGGGCTTCCATGGTGGGTGTGTTTTAGAACCCCTTTACTAGTGGGCTTCCATGGTGGGTGTGTTTTAGAACCCCTTTACTAGTGGGCTTCCATGGTGGGTGTGTTTTAGAACCCTTTACTAGTGGGCTTCCATGGTGGGTGTGTTTTAGAACCCTTAACTAGTGGGCTTCCATGGTGGGTGTGTTTTAGAACCCCTTTACTAGTGGGCTTCCATGGTGGGTGTGTTTTAGAACCCCTTTACTAGTGGGCTTCCATGGTGG